AATCTTCTGTAATAAAATGCACTCATGAGGAAAGGAGCAACATAATATGGTAGTTAAAAGCACAGATTCTGGGAGCTGACTGCTTGAGTTCAAATTGTAGTTCTGCCAGATACTAGCTGTGTGAACTTGGACTAGTTACATAACATCTCTGTGTTTCACGTTCCTCGCCTCAAAAATGAGGATAATAATAATAGTACCTGCTCCATAGGCTTCTTGTGAAGGACACATAAAACAATCAGAACAGGGGCCAGCAAACTGTAAACACTCAATAAATATTATGCTATTAGAATTGAATTTATATATTTTAGTGTTAATATTAGGATTAGTATTAGTAATATTCCATGGAATAAAGACATTTAGACATAATCAAGACAACAAGAACTAAAGCACAATATGAAAACCACACCTAGAAATTGGCAAGAAATTATACTATAAAAAGTTATAACCAAATTTCTGAAGTAATGTATTGCTTAGAAACAGATTACATAGTTAAGCCATAATAATCATGTTCTTGATAAATTATGCACATCACTGTTTTCCATGACACTTTCCTGTAAGGTATGACATTATAGTGACCAATGAGCCTTCTATATATTTTTTTTAAAGATTTATTTATTTGACAGACAGAGATCACAAGTGGACAGAGAGGCAGGCAGAGAGGGGTTGGGGGAAGCAGGCTCTCCGATGAGCAGAGAGCCCAATGTGATCTCAGGACCCTGGGATCATGACCTGAGCTGAAGGCAAGAGGCTTTAACCCACTGAGCCACCCAGGTGCCCCCAACGAGCCTTCTAATACAGCACACATATAGGGCAGGATATTAACGAGCCACTACATGGAGCAGTACCTAGAAATATTTGTGACTAATAAATATTCTATATTCATTCAAATCAGAGCCAATAATGCGATGATCACCTTATCCTAAAATCTAATGAGGTGGCTTACCACCTGAATCATATTTACTGTAACACAAAAACTGCATAAACCATAGTTTACTAGGTTATAGTAAATATGATTCCCTGCTGCTTTCTCCTTTTCCTTTGCCCCAATCTATTTTAAATGCCTTTCATGAAAATGAATTTTTAGTTTGCTCTTTGCTCTTTGAATTTTCAGACTTTCGCCTGTCCAGCCACTCCACAGTTCCATGGCCAATTCAAGATCCTTTATCTGCTCGCTCATCTTTCCCTAAGGTTCAGTTCAATTTATGTGAAAAGCAAACTGCCAGCCCATAATCCAAAACTGCATAATTCACCTATGGTTTATCAGGAGTTGGCTCCATTTTAGAATGTAATTTTACAATTAAATTTAGATTTCACTAAGCAAAAGTATCTACTTACTAATTTTCTGAATCTAACCGGATAGCTGAGAATTAATAGGGTTCAAACATATTGTAGTATGGCTATAACTTCAAGGACAATATCCAGACTTCTGTAGTTTATTTTCTAAATTGGATGATTATCAATATTCACACACCCATAGTAATGTAAACATTTCCCATTTCTTTACACATTAACTTAATTAATCCAAAACAATCCTTTGAGCTAGACATTACCCCCATTTTATAGATGAAGAAATTGCATAAGCACCAATGGAACAGATACTGTATGTAATTTTGTCAGGTTCTTGAGGAAGTTCTACTAATCTAGAGAAAAATGAGTTAGTGAGAAATTAAAATTGCTAAGTAAAATTTCAGTCTCTTCAATACTACTAATGCACCCTTTACACCTGGAAGCTCTCCCACTCTCCTAAAACTTTCTCCCTGTGGCCAAAATGTTTCTAGAGTATTCTTACTCTAAATGTGCTAAGGGGGAGAAAGGGGATGTGGGTGGATCTGCACTGGCCCTCTTCAGCTACCTAATGAATTCATACAGGATGCATCAAATACAGTAATAGCCAGGAACATGGCCTTTCACGACTTTTGCTAAACCTTCACCTGCCCTTGCAAAAAAAAAAATTTTGAACTTTAGAATTTATTACCTAATTACAACAAGGGACAATATAACCAATTAATTAACTTGCCCAAAACCAAATTTTAAATTATGTTTATGTGTCATCTAAATGTCACAGTGTTCAACAGTTCTACATGCCACTGACAAATGGTGAAAATGTGAATACAATTATAGGTAAATGTACTTAAGACTGACTAAAGAGGGGGTGCCTGGGTGGCTCAGAGGGTTAAAGCCTCTGCCTTCTGCTCAGGTCATGATCCCAGGGTCCTGGGATCGAGCCCCACATCGGGCTCTTTCCTTGGCGGGAAGCCTGCTTCCTCCTCTCTCTCTCTGCCTGCCTCTCTGCCTACTTGTGATCTCTCTCTGTCCAATAAATAAATAAAATCTTTAAAAAAAAAAAATAAGACTGACTAAAGAAAAAAAATTCAGTTTAAGATTGAATGTTTCTGGGGCGCCTGGGTGGCTCAGTGGTTAAAGCCTCTGCCTTCGGCTCAGGTCATGATCCCAGGGTCCTGGGATCGAGCCTCACATCGGGCTCTCTGCTCAGCAGGGAGCCTGCCTCCTCCTCTCTCTCTGCCTGCCTCTCTGCCTACTTATGATCTGTCTGTCAAATAAATAAAAATCTTAAAAAAAAAAAGATTGAATGTTTCTTCTTCCAAGGTTTAGCTATAGAAGTAAATAAATTGAGTGCTTTAATATGAATCAAAGTAGCATTTCAGAAATCAAAAATTTTTCTATCAGTCCTCTGAGAAGCACAAAGGCAAAATTACTTTATATAATTTGTGCAGAAATAGTATATGTAATGATCATTTTGAGGAAGATAAGGAGTAGGGGGGAGAAACCTAGAATTTTATAAAAAAATAAAATTTTAAAAAACCAAAGTATACCTCAAGGCATACCTATAGGAGTACAATGAAGAAAAAAATTTTCTCTATTTGGAACTATGTTTTTTTTTTTGTTTTTTTTTAAGTATAAAGCTTAGAACTGATAAAAGAATTCTTCTGTTAACTAGAGGTTAAACTCTTAAGGACTCTCAACTTTTTCTTTCTCTCCTTTACTGAAGTTTGTTTTTGTTTTTATTTCTAAAGCACTTCACTGCTTTAACACGGGAAATATTCAAAATATAAAACTTGCACATAATGTCATTTAAGAGGGTAAGAGCAACCATTATATTATATAAGAATGCAAATATAGATAGATTCTAATCATAATGGAAATGTAGCTGAATATCTAATACTTCATATGAAAAGAGTTTTCTAAACTAAATCCTATAATCAAAATGGTTAAAAAAAAAACCTCATTGAAAGCAAGATGGGATTGGGAGGGAGATAAACCATAAGTAACTCTTAATCTCATAAAACAAACTGAGGGTTGCTGGGGGGAGGGGGGTTGGGGGGGTGGGGTTATTATGGACATTGGGGAGGGTATGTGCTATGGTGAGTGCAGTGAAGTGTGTAAACCTGGCAATTCACAGACCTGTACCCCTGGGGAAAAAATATATGTTTATAAAAAATAAAATTTAAAAAAAAAACAAAAAACCTCATTGAATGCATTCATTCCCTTCCAGTTAATTTTAGCTGACCTAAACTTTATTCAATCATTCTGCAAATACTTATTTATCATTTATCATGTGGTAGATAATAAGGGTACATTGGGGAAGAAAAATTGAGATGGTACCTACAACTTGTTTTATATGCCCTTATATTTTTTAATAGTTTTTTTAATTTTTAATTTTTTAAAATAGTTTCAGTGGTAGAGCTCAGTGATTCATTAGTCTTATATAATACCCAGTGCTCATTACATCATGTGACCTCCTTAATGTCCATCACCCAGTTACCCCATCCCCCTATATGCCCTTATATTAATCAATATAGAAACTTCTGGAATCTTACAGGATTGGTACTTCTTGATAAAAGTATATCCCCAAATACGCATTATTTACAATCAGCAAATCATAATTCAGTAATATTTCCAAAGGAAAGTTCTAATAACACAGAGTTATCTGGCACAGAAATATGCCAGCAAAAATGAACAATCTATTTCAGTAATCTTAAATCATACTACCTAAATATGGAATTTAATGTTCTTACATAATGCTCAAAGTATTTTTCTTTTAATCTGTTCCCGAATGCCTTATTATATTAAAAAATTGATTTTTATACCACTTGGCATTTTATGTGCTTTGATAGAGTACATTTTGCTTTATTAAACCACAATGTGTTTAGGCAGCACTAAAGTATTAAAATATGCATCTTAAAAGTGAAGAGGTTTTTTGCCAAGTTTTAAATTCCCCATGATAATCAGAAGGTCTAAAAATACTGTAAACCAGTAAATTGATACAACATACAGATGTCCTATTGTGATCTTTCAAACACAACCCCCCAAATGCATTAGTGACATTAGCTGTAACTGGTGTACACATAAATACATAAATAGTATGTGGTCTGTGTTAAATATAAATATATAATTTCATAAAGAACATTTCTACTTAATCAAGCTCATTGAGATCAACCAATGAGCAAAACAATAAAAACCTTCGTGTGAAGGGGAGAGAGAAGAGTAAGAGTTGGGAACTACTCTAATGTGGATGGGTTTCTTTCTGGGGTAATGAAAGGATTCTAAAATTAGACTGTGGTGATGGTTGCACAACTCCAAATATACTAAAAACAACCAAACAGCATGCTTGACATGCATGAATTTTACGAATTTTATGATATGTGAAATATATCTCAATAAAAATGGGAGGGACAATCCCTCCATAAAAAAAAAAAAACAAAAAACAAAACTCTTCAAACTCCAGTCTCTAAAAGCGTCCATGGGCATAAAACTATTGCTTCCCTCCCTGTTCAATTATTGTATCACCCCCCCCCCCACTTTATTCACTAGGAAAGCTACCAAATGCAAAGGTAACAATGTAAATTATAACACCTGTCTCTGGGTGGTAGAATTAGATATCAAATCATTCTGTTTTCCCTAGTGGGTGCCTTAAATAATTACTACTTCACATACCTTTAAAACAAATCTCTCCAAAAACTCAATATAGATTCTTATACCTGGTAATCCAGGATGCTGAATCCCAAGCCTTTATGATCTTTAACCAGTTCAACAATCTTGACTTCAGGAGACCATAGTGCTAATTCCCCATCATCATCTTCTTCAGTACCGACTTCTACACTGTGGTCAGCCTGAAACACCAAAGAAGATAAATGCTTAAAAACATTGTCCTTTCAATTCTGGAAAGAATTAACATCTCAGGAATCTCACAGTTTCTTCTCCAACTAGGAATTCTTTGGCATGCATACTTTATCTTTTTAATCTTTTCAGAAGGGCATGCACTGGGGCACACACACTCTAGTATAAGACCTTCATGAAAATCCAAGTACTTCAAAATGCAGTCTGTTCATACAGTTTGGATTTTTTAAAATGTAAAGTACTTGTTTCGTTCAAAATATTAATACTGACCTCTTATACTTCAATGAGTCCCATTAGAAGCATAAAAGGAAAAATATGCAATTTAAGAAAAAAAATGAAAAAAATCATACAAAGTCAAAGCTTGTAAGATATTTAAGTAGCAATACCTGAATTTATAATTACAGTGAAAGACAGAAAGATGCCAACAGAGAGCGAGAATAGGACAAGACACAAAAGAAACCACTTCTGTTGGCTCCTAGAAGTTTTCAAGAAAAAGTTCACTAGAAAAATAAAGTGGAAAAAATCTAAGTCCTTGGGAATTGTCTAAGTCTAAAAACTAGTTAAAAAAAAAAAATCACCGAGTTGAAATAACAAAAATCTCATCTTGGAGGATGTAAGTTAGCAAAACTATCCAAGGGTCCTTGGTTATTTTCCTTGACTTCATACCTCCAAACCCCCATTCTAGGCTCCCCACTCCTTTCAGGGAGAGTCAATGCTATGGGGAATTCTAGGAAGCTAAATGACAGTGAGTCAATGAGTTGCCTACACAGAAGAAGAGCTGCTTCAACCTTCAGTTTTTAGTACTACTTATAGCACTATATTGTGTGTTCACATGATTAATTGTCCTCAAAATACCATGAACTTCTGTCTGAAGCACAAAGATTATCTTCGTTTTCTTTGCAGCCCGAGCAACTAACAAAATGACAGGATAGAATGGAAACCCTGTGTGGGCTACCATGGGGTTTACCAATAGCTATCCACTCAGCCCACAATAGATCCTGGCTCAGAGTCGGCGCTTGATACATATTTGTCCAAAACATTAACAAATCATCCTTCTTTGACTGCATATCCCTTGGGAATTTTTTTCTTTAAAGATCTTATTTGTTTGAGAGAGAGCAGGAACGAGAGAGAGAACACAAGCAGGGGGAGGGGCAGAGGCAGAGGGAGAAGCAGACCGACCACCAAGCAGGGAGCCGAACATGGGACCCAATCCCAGGACCCTGAGATCATGACCTGAGCCAAAGGCAGATGTTTACCCGACTGAGCCACCCAGGTGCACCGCTTCGAACTTTTAAAATAAAATTACAGGCTAAATAATAATTTTTACAAGTAGCCTTCTTAAAAGTCTGGGTGCTCTCAGTAAATAAAATCAAAGTGCATTATTCCTAGGAACTTAATTTTGAGTGACTTGCATAAGAAAATCCATTTAATGAAATCAAAAGGAGGGACCCTTCTAATATGGAAGAGTAAAGCACTATAGCAAGTACAAAAACATTTTTAAAATTAGGGTTGGTCCAGATCTCAAAACTGTCCCCACAGGACATGGAAAGTCAATACTCAATCCATGGTGGATTGAGTCTAAACATGTTAACAATTTCTGGGTTCTTGAATTACAAAACTTGAAATTAGTGGGATGTTCTGGATCAATAACCTTTGTATATATCAGCCTGATGTGAGGACATGATATTCATAAAGAAAACATTATACCTTCCAATAAAAAGTAAAGTTCCTATAGCTAATACAATATGATTGATGTTTTACTGGGGCATTTAATACCCTCATTGAGTAACGAGCATTAGAATTCTGGCTGAGCTGCCTAACCAGATAAGGTTTAAGAACCTAAGATGAAACAGGGGATAAATGGGAAAAAAAAAAAAAAAGAAAAAAAAGAAAGAAAAGAAAGCCAGGATTTTGAGAAACTGCACATACTTATAAAACCTAAGTTTATAGAAATTTCAAGGCATCCAAGGTATATATATATTATACTCCAACCTAAGATATATCACTTTGATACAATCAATTGTGCATAACTCCTGTATTTACAAAATGGAAAGCAATCAACTAATGGGCAGCAAGGTTGACATTTAGAATAATTCAAAGCTGTTGTTTACCCATTGTGGTAAAGGATGACTGATGGGAGCATTGAGTCAGCAAGCTGGGTGATTTACACACCCTGTAAGATTAGATTAAAGGTATTTTTATCAATCTTTAGAGGTAAGCCCTCATCCACACTGAATTTTAGTAAAGGTACTAAGAATCACAAAAGTGATATTCAAGATCCTTCCTTGAAATATGTTTTACTGAAGATAAACATTAAGGAAAAAAAAAAAAAGATTCTCAATCAATAAAGGACTAAACAATTCCTATACACCCAGTATAGAATAAAAACATTGTGAGAGACAAAATAATTTTAAGATATGACTCTGCTCACAGGGGTGAGTTTTCTTGCAAAAGCAAGCTTAATACACATGAAAGTATCTGTGACCCTGAGACAGGGCTAGCCTCTTATATACTTCAGGAGATCAGGAAACAAAGACAGCTGGACTGGAAGAGTCAAGACTTATAGGAGACCTCTCCTGAGCACTTCTCATCGGCAAGGCACTGCACTAACAGCTGGGCACGTATTACTTCATTTCTTTCTCGTACAAACTGAGGAGGGCAGGAAGGACTATAAGTATCCCCAATTTTCAGAGAGAGAATGTGGAGCCTGGGTGGCTCATTGGGTTAAGCCTCTGCGTTCCGCTCAGGTCATGATCTCAGGGTCCTGGGATCGAGCCCTGCATTGGGCTCCCTGCTCAGAGGGGAGCCTTCTTCCCCCTCTCTCTGTGCCTGCCTCCCTGCCTACTTGTGATCTCTCTCTCTTTGTCAAATAAATAAATAAAATCTTAAAAAAAAAAAGAAAGAATATGAACAGAAAGTCAAGTTATTTGCTCATTTGCTCAAAGATTCACAATCATTAAGTGGTAGAGGCATGACTATCTTGAAACTCAGACTACAGGCAAGGAAACAGAAGGCTCTGTGCATCTAAACTGGTGTTAATGGGGTGCCTGGGTGGCTCAACTGGTTAAGGGTCTGCCTTCAGCTCAGGTCATGATCCCAGGGTCCTGGGATTGAGCCCCAGATCGGGATCCTTGCTCAGCGGGGAGTCTGCTTCTCCCTTTTCCCTCTGCAGCTTCCCCTGCTTGTACTCTGTTAAATAAATAAAATCTTAAAAAAAAAATAAAGAAATAAACTTAACTGGTATTAAGGAATTATAATCCGTAAGGGTCTGGAAAGGAAGGGTGGGGTAGGGTAAGGAAGCGGCATAAAAGATGAAGTTCAATTGACATAAGATGGCAAAGCACGTGCTTAAAACTGTTTACATAATCACAATATTCTTTAAAAAAAAAAAAAAAAAAAAGAAGTGTACCAAGAGCACAGAAAATGTTATTTTATTCTCTGACCTTCTGAAGGCTTTTACAGCAATTTTTACTCACTTTGAAATTGGTCATAGATCTTCATATTTCTAAGGCTCTGAAAAAGGGAAGTCCATTAGATATTCAACACTCACCAACATCTTAAACTTAAGGTGAACTGAGTTGAACTGGGAGCCTAAAGTAATGAGCCCAGGAAATTACTAAAAAAAGGTTTTCTAAAATAATAATGCATGCAGATTAATGTCACCAACATTTCAAGTAGAAGAAGAAGAAGAAGAATGAAAGTTTTATGATGTGAAATGAAAAGTAACGGTTTGTAAAGCTATGTATTATTGCCTTTGAGTGCTATTCTAGTCAAAAGACGGAAAATTCTCCCCTCCTTTCATATCCAAACACACTCATCAGGGCATTCCTGATGAATCTCGTTCCTGTGGGAACCACAGAATATTCCGTTAGTACCTCCATCTTGGGAAGAGGGGCTTCAGTGGTCCTTGGTTCATCCACAAAAGCTTCATCATCAAACAGTCGTCGACAGCAAACCAAGGTAAAGGGAGGAGGCACCTCTTTGAGAAAAGACACTGCTTCTCGGCGAGACTTCCCATACAGTTGCACACCATTGACCTAGAAAGACAAGGGAAAAGTCAGAATTGAGCAGCCCTGGAGAAAAAAACCAAAGTCCCATGCTCACATGGATCTACCCAAATAAAAACAGGTTTATTTTCCCCACAAAAGGTTCAAACATAACCACAGTATTTTAGTAGTAACTAAAAACACTAGAAATCAAATGTATAAAAATTTAGGCTAAACCTTTACTGAATTTAGTGAAGAAAGTTTAAGACGTGTGCAGATTACAAGTGATCTAATTTCTCACACCTCCATGATTTCTCTTTTCTACCCTCCAATTCTTGAATTCTCTCATCTACTTCTACACATCTCTCCTTAAACACACTAAATATCATTGCTAGCCTTCCTAAGACCACCTCCTTTTACTTTTTCATTTTATAAAAATATCACTATAGATATCAACACTAATTTTAAGGCTGTAATTAAAAACCACTCAATTTACAATGTGTAGGTAACAAAATCTAGGATACTCAACTGTCAAAATTGAGCATCATTTTTCACAATTTTCTTTCATATGCCATAAACTTTATTTTTAATTTACATTCAATTAGCCAACATAGAGCACATCATTGGTTTCAGATATAGTGTTCAATTAATTCATCAGTCACGTGTAATACCCAGTGCTCATCACATCACGTGCCCTCCTTAATGCCAGGCACCTAGCTATCCCATCACCCTACCCACCTCCCCTCCAGCATCCCTCAGTTTGTTTCCTAGAGTTGAGAGTCTCTCATGGTTTTTCTCCGTCTCCGATGCTTCAGACCATCCTAGAAAAAGTATCCATCGAAAATAAATATATGTAAATCCATTCTATTCTTACATGTTCTGCTCACACAGCCGTCAACTATAGGTCTACTATCGGAGGTGTCAGTTTTCAAACTGTTAGACGTGTGTTCCAAATGCTTAAAAGAACAAAATGATAACTAACTACTCCTAACGCTTAGTGCTTATCACCATGAAATTATCTAAATTTCATGTTTTAGTGCACAGTAATAGTATTTTTGCACCAAAGATGATTTAGAAAGATAAACCTATTCTAATTTTTTATCTATGTGACTTAAGCTCCAGAAACTCTCTCAGTTCTGACTCAACACCACTAAAAACTGATCTGCCTGCAACTCCCTAAAAGCTGAGGCATGAACATAATCCAGGCATGAACCAGTCTTTTCCCACCTGACTCCTACCTTCCTGGGAGCGTTCAGTGGCATTATTAGTTGTAAAGGGCTGGCATCAATTTCTGACAGGTGCCGTGCTAATATCCAGATCACTGATGGGGCCGACATTCCCGGGAGAAACCTGTGCACAGAATCTGTCCTTCTCAGAGAATACGGCATTGTGGGTTTTGCAAGCATCTCAGAGGCAGCGACCTGAGCCCAAAGTCAATGATCCCCAGGAGCCACTCTCGGGCCCACAAATCCAAGCACTTAGCCGTCAGGCCAGACACCATCTCTCTGCCTCTGAATTATTTACAGAGGTATCACCACCGAGTAAAGAGACCCATATGTGCTTCAGGGAGCTGGTCCTAGTGGAAAAGTCAGGATCATCTCCCAAGACTTTCTGACAGATGAAAGGGATCTGGGGGACAACAAGTTTAGCAGCTGATAAATGTTTTTCCTCGGAAGAACTGAAAGTCAACCTTCACTGGCCACATCACGTCCCCAGTGCCAACGGGTGCCACAGACAGAGCAAATTCTCAAATCACCCACACGCACAGTACCCTATACCGAGAAGCAAGCAAGCGAATATAACCAAAGCCAAGAATTCTACCCCATATGCAAGTCTTAGTTTGTGTTTCACACTACTTCAACAAATTAGAAAATCACTTTTCAGGTTTTTATCTTGGAGTACATTTAAATATTTATTTAGCTCATTATTTATTCATTTGAATTGTCTCCAATTATTATAGCAAGTGCCTGGTAGTCCTCCTCACTGCTCTCTACTGTTAAAGGGATTGGTCACGTTTCCCATTACCAACTCCTATCTAAGAGGATTTATGGCTGCTGTAAATAGCTGCTCTGGGCTGAGACTTGGCACAATGTTCTAACGCCACAGCGTATTTGTGTTTCCTTTTTTTAAGTTCTAAGGAGTACACACACACATACACACACACACACACACACACTCTTTAGGTTCAGGAGTTTATTTGGCTAACTTTAGAGAGTTTTCTATTTCTATATTTGGCTATTCAGAATAAGCCAATTTTTATTTTAGAGTTCACAGTATTTCTTAGGCCCTCCAACTGGAGACCCTCTTAAGAGCTATCAAGTCTCAATTATTCAGACTTTGTGACTAGAAAGCACACACACATACACATTTGCAGAGTACATAATACCGTACAAGTATTGTCACACCACATTACCTCATTCAATCCTCATTAGATTGTTTATGCCTTTTTACAGTAATAATACTGCCAAGATCGCACAGTGAGATAACGCTTTAAAGTTTACATGGATGAGTGTAGCCTCTCTGGAAAACAGTATGGAGGTTCCTCAAAAACTTAAAAATAGAGGCACCTGGGTGGCTCAGTGGGTTAAAGCCTCTGCCTTTGGCTCAGGTCATGATCCCAGGGTCCTGGGATCGAGCCCCGCATTGGTCTCTCTGCTCAGCGGGGAGCCTGCTTCCTCCCCTCTCTCTGCCTGCCTCTCAGCCTACTTGTGATCTCTGTCTGTCCAAAAAAAAACAAAACAAAACAAAAACTAAAGTTAACAACAACAAAAAATGGTAGTGGATAGACCATGTCAGTTTCAGGCACACAGTACATCTATGTATACTTATCACACACAAAAAAGAGAGAATCAAACTAGTTTTTACTAATTCTACTTCTCTCCAAACAAAAATATCTCCTTTCTCAATACCTAAAAACTATACATTATAGAAATGGTCTCCAATCTACAGATTATTATCTGTGATATCCATAAAGCTACGAATGTGCTTTGACAATCGAAAGATAAAGATATGATCTCAGTACCAAAACCAAAATAATACAAAAAACAAACCAAAAACAAAGCCTAAGTCATGTAGTAAAACCTAAAGGTATTATTCCACAATAAGCATCCCAGTAGGATTCCTTGAGCACTTCTAAAAATAAGCTGCTTACTAGAGATTAAAACAGGACTCCCACATCTTGCCCTCTTATGCTTATGATAAAATTTAACAACCAGTCATAGCAGCTTTCCCTGTGACCTCAAAAGTCAGCCTAGAATTTTCAACACAGTTCTCTAGGTGGCCAGACACTGCTCAAAAATGCAGCTGCACCCAACAACAACCCTATCTGCTATCCTCGTCATTTCACTTTGAGTAAACATCAACTTTAGAGCGACATCTCTACAACCAAGGCCCATGGGAGTCAAACCTTGGCTAAGGCTACGAGGTTCAGTCTATTAAACCCAAGTTAGAGCTTCTTGTGGTTCCTAACTCGTTGCAGAACCCTCTTTTACATAGCCTTCAAGTCTGACCATTCTCCACATTTATTTTTTTGAGGGGCTTCGGAAGTAGTGTATTTGGGAAAAAAACAGTGAAATGGGAAGTAGAAAACATGAACTAAAGTCATCATGCTAGGAGTATATAACATTGGGGAAAAATCAGTGCCTTATTTTCCTGTCTGTAAAATTAGCAGATTCATTGTTGTTTGTGTGTTTATGTTAGCTCTGGGACTGTCCGATCTAATAAAATATCTCAAGAAGGTCATGTCAAAGCAGAAGTGCTCTAAAATTGTTCTAGCTGAAGACAGGCTGGGGAGCCTGAGGGAGCCCACAGAGGCTGCCATGTTAGGCTGTGAGTCCCAAGGAGACACTCTGAATACCAGTCAATAATACATAAGCCTGAGGTCACCCAGCTAGCCTAATTCTTATTAGAAATAACCATAAAACCTGCAGGTGCATGTGACTACATGCTGCAAACAAGGGGTAGGGATTTGTCTCTTAAAAAAGAATTTTGCTAAAAAAAAATCCTAATTATGCTATCAAACTATAACAGGACATTAGCTCCTTTCTCAATCACTTAAATAAGCAAGCAAAAGAAAGTCTCAGGAGTCCCAAAAGATAGGAAAAATGAACTCAAACCCATTATCTATTTTATTTTATCATTATATAGGCTGTATTTTTCTCTACCTTCATTTTATTTCATTTTCTCCAGTTTTATTGAAATAAAATTGACACATAACATTGTGTAAGTTTAAGGTATATAATGTGATAATTTGAACTACATCTATACTGTGAAATATTCTCACAATGAAGTTAGTTAACACAGGCATTGCCCCACATGGTTACCATTTTGTGTGTTGTGTGTGTGTGTGTGTGTGTGTGTATAGTAAGAACATTTAAGATCTACTCTTAAAGTAACCTGGGGACTATCATTAACAATACTGTGTTATACACTTGAAAAGAAAGTCCCCAAGTATTTTTCAATATAAGTAGTTCACATTACATTGGCGGTAATGTAATTCAGCGAATTTCTGGTAAAAATACTTTTTCCTACAACTCAGAAATTCCTGTCCTGTGTTTTTTATCTCTCACGAATTTTACCTCAAGAAGTTCATCCTCTGGCTGCAGAAGGTTCAGTGTATCCACAGGACCACCTGGAGCAACTGAAGAGATGTAATGGTGCCCATCAAAGGAATCCACTTCCATGCCAAGCCTAAGAGTGTGAATGGGCAGCAGCTGTAGCAAAACACAAAGCAACAACATCAAACCTGACAAGGACATATCCAACTGTTAATCCTCCATCAAGTATTATTTTGACACGAAAACCCCACCTCTTGAGTCAGATCATCAAGATCCCAACAGAGGGCAATAATGGCGAAACTAGCCACCAATAAAATATGAATAATTTGTCTTCTTGTTCTCACTCCTCTTTTCCTTTCAGATTCCTTAGGGATGGACACACAGATGTACAAAGTCCTGCCTTCAATTCTAAGCATCAAGTATTCCAAACTTCTTATAGTTCCCAGTATGGATTCCGGGTTTTATTTTTCTGCAGGGCTACCCATCTCCCAGAACATTCGAGTTCCTCTTTATTACCTAATTTCCACTCACACTTGAATACCGAGGCAGTGTTACTTCCAGGAAGTCCTTCCTGATATCTGAGTTAATGTCCCTCTGTTTGGGGTCCAAGACCACCTTGTATAGATCTCCATCACAGCTCATAACCTACTGTGCCTAGAATTTCTATTTTCTTGATTGTTCTCCCTGCTTAAATGCAAAGTCTGTATCTTCTCTCTGTAACTTCAGATCCTACAATAGTACCAGGCACTAAACATGGATTCATTAAATACTTTTTTTTTAACTAAGCTGTGAGAATGATGCCTCACTCAAGAAAGAACTCCTTTTCCATCTCACCAACTTAAGTGAGAACAATTTCCAGGTGGGGGAGGGTGGCTATGTAATAAGGAAGGCAATCATTATTCCATCCTAGGATTGATGTTGCTGGCTTAGAAGGATTCCTATGGGCTCAGATGTAAGTCAAAGATTAAGAAACTCTAGGCCATGTCAAAATAAAGAGATGAGACTTGGTGTTGTTGGCTGTAAAGGTCAAAAGCACTCACCAAACTCTACTCCCTTGACTTTTAAAGATGGAGCTCATGATTAATCATTGTGGCTATATAAACTCAAATATGGTAAATGGTACTTACTAATTATGATTCATATGTCCTATATCAATAGTTTATTTATCTAAAATACCAGGCCCTTGGGGCGCCTGGGTGGCTCAGTGGGTTAAGTCTCTGCCTTCGGCTCAGGTCATGATCTCAGGGTCCCGGGATCAAGCCCTGCATCGAGCTCTCTGCTCAGCAGGGAGCCTGCCTCCCCCTCTCTCTCTGCCTGCCTCTCTACCTACTTGTGATCTCTGTGTCAAATAAATAAAATCTTCAAAAAAATAAATAAAATACCAGGTCCACCTCTAACTATATATTTAATAAGGAGAAAACCTTATACAGCTTGGCAACACATGCACAATATGGTTCTTTCCTTCATATTTCCTATTCCCTGTGACCCCTTATCTCTGAGCTTGTCACCTCCCGTTAGTCATTTGCTCTGGGTCCCCAGAGTTCTACAGGCTTTAGGCACCATCTAGGGCTCATTTCCTTCCCACTGTATACATACAGACAAATGGGAAGGACAAGCAGTCTAGCACACCAAGACCTCAATGACTTAAAACAGGCATGAGGGATTTCTGGCTCTGGGCTAACTTTCTGAAAGTTAAGTGTTCTTGACCACCAAGCTCTTCAGATTCCACCACCATGTCTGGCAATAAGATGTTCTAGCGCTCTCCACGGAAGGTTAGCATTGTTTTTACTCTTGTTCCCTCTCTGTGATTTCTTTATCACTGCGGTCCCCTATCCTCTTACTGAGTCATTGTACCCAACCATGCATATCAAACCAGAAGATACCAGTTCCCTTATTACTAATGTTGGTGGTGGTGGGGTTTTTTTTGTTTTTGGGTTTTTTTTTTAGTCTTTTCTTCAGTAGTAAAAGGTTAAATACCAACTCTCAGAGAAATGTTTCTGTAATAAGGACTAACCCACCCATGTTTGCCGACTCTCTCCCTTCCTCTGTTTATGAGGCAAACACTGGGGCTGTGGTCAGTGGTCAGGGAGTCCACCCGCAGGTCGTCTCCAGTGGTATGAAGACTGCTTGCGAGAACAGGCTGCTCAATCTTCAGGAATTCTCTAAGTCTGCTGTTAAATGCAGCCATCACTAAAAATTAATGCTGCACAACTACAATTAAATGATATTAAAAGTAAATGTCAAAAGTATTCAGAATCCATCACTAAGCCACTGGGTGGCTCAGTTAGTTAAGCATCTGACTCTTGATTTCAGCTCGAGTCAAGATCTCAGGGTCATGTTTTAGATGACTCTGTGCTCCGCGGGGAGTCTGAGATTCTCTCCCTCTGCCTCTCGCCCAGCTCACACTCTCTCAGTCTCTGTCTCTCTCAAATCAATCAATCAATCTTTAAGAACAACCAAAAAAAGCACAATTCACCAACAAACAAGTGAAAACCAAATAATTACTAGTTGTAATTATTACTAGTTGCTATGCAGGAATGAATCTGGGCCAAGATACCACACATGACTAGAGAAGGTCATTTTGAAAAGTTGGGCAAGGTGGATTTTCCAGAAATGGGGACATTTGTGGTAAAACTGAAAGAAAGAACATATCAGCCCTACAAAAAGCCTGCGACGGGGCTGCTTGTGGAATGTCAACGAGAAAGGTAATTGCTAAATTTTTATTGGAGCAACTGATTATATGGTGGTAGCAATTTCTGCATAGAGGTGCCCAAATTAAAACAAGGACACTGCTGTACATACAGACTATTGCTACTTACACAGAAATATGCCTCCATAAAAAAATAAAAGGATTAAGGAGGGAACTGATTCAATTTCCTCATTCAGCCCCCTCTTCCTAATCCTGACCTATTTATGTAGCTGACCCCATTCCCCACAATATCCATGCAACAGCTGAAGTCGGGAGGAATGGGCTGGAGCAGAGAAGAGGAGCAGAGAGGAGCAGGAGAAGGTCACCCATGGAATCCTTTGCCTTCCAGATATAGGCCTGTACCCTCGTAGGCGATGCTCCCAGATATCTGTAAACAACACATGCTCCCCAGAAACTTAAACCATGAACAAGACACACATGCTCCATCTTTAATCACACTGAACAAATAAACCAGAAACGATGTTTACGAAATCTGTCAATCTGCAAGAGGCCTACCTAATACTAGTTCTGTATCCAAATCTGAGTACAGCTGGGTTTTCGAGACTTCATGTTACATTGCTGCAGGCTCCTCTGCGGGAGCAGGACTGTTTAATTACCTGTCCCAGCTGCATTTAGCAACTCAACAAATCAACCGTTTCATCTGTCTCTTTCAGTTGTCCACCCCTTCCGTATTCTGAGTTCTTAGAGAGCAGAAAGTGCTAAAATGACAGGAGTGGGTGCAACAGACCGGTGATTGATGCCTTCACACACATTCCATGTTATGCTTTACTGATGCTTACTCAATGTGCTTTGCAAGGGGTCCTATTTAAATTGACAAAGTTAATGAGCAGCAGGGTTTTCATGATCCCGATGTGACAAGTAAAAGATACAAGGAAATATATCCAAGGAGAAGTATGACCATTGTACGACTTACTGTCAGTGCTAAAATGATGAAGATCAAATGAGACCAAGCAAGCCAGAGCCCTTCAACCTGCAAGTGGAGAGACCTGTCACGAAGCAAACCGCAGTTCATTCATTTTGCTAAAAGCTCTACTTTTAGGACCCTAAAACAAGATATCAGAATGTGCAAGTGAGAATATAAATGATGTTGCTTCGGGGGAAAAAACCCTTCTGAAGAGGAACAGATATGTCAGTAGGATGGGGGAGGATGCTTCCAAAAAAGCTAACCTCAAAATAGGACAGAAAGAACCCCATAATTAGTTCCTATAACACACATACAAACACACACACAGAGAGACTGAAGATGTTAAATGCCATTTATGTTTAAAAGTTAGAGGGAAAGAATTACTAATTTTACCATAAAGAAAAAACAAACTTTCCAAGAATTTAGCTACAACTTTTAAAAAGTGAACACAGGGGCGCCTGGGTGGCTCAGTGGGTTAAAGCCTCTGCCTTCGGCTCAGGTCATGATCCCAGGGTCCTGGGATCGAGCCCCACATCGGGCTCTCTGCTCGGCAGGGAACCTGCTTCCCCCCTCCTTCTCTCTCTGCCTGCTTGTGATAAAATCTTTAAAAAAAAAAAAAAAAAAGTGAAACACAACAAAAGCTTCTTGCCCATATAAAATTTTAATTCTGAATATTCAAAAAACACACATTGTGTGCTCTTCTGTACAGAAACACAATGGAAGTTCTTTTTAGTGGCCTAAAACCAAGGTCAAGAGTCAACTGGCATTTATCATTCTTTTTGTTGTTTAGCATTATCATTTTATTTTATTTATTTATTTATTTAAAAGATTTTATTTATTTATTTTACAGAGATCACAAGTAGGCAGAGAAGCAGGCAGAGAGAGATAGGAGGAAGCAGACTCTCTGCTGAGCAGAGAGCCCGATGCAGGGCTTAATCCCAGGACCCTGGGATCATGACCTGAGCTGAAGGCAGAGGCCTTAACCCACTGAGCCACCCAGGCGCCCCAGCATTATCATTTTAAATATCATTGATGTTACCTGCCTAGTCCACATGATATTTGAACTTCTGACACCTGATCTAACACTTTGCACTTACAACTTTTTTTTTTTTTAAGATTTTATTTATTTATTTGACAGACAGAGATCACACATAGGCAGAGAGGCAGGCAGAGGGAGAGGGGGAAGCAGGCTCCCCGCCGAGCAGAGAGCCCGATGCGGGGCTTGATCCCAGGATCCTGAGATCATGACCTGAGCCGAAGGCAGAGGCTTTAACCCACTGAGCCACCCAGGCACCCCTGCACTTACAACTCTTGTTCTACCTTTGTTCTCGGTACTTCCTCCACCTGGAATAGCTAGTTATTTCCCTGAACCCATTCTTCAGGGTACACTTCAAACGCCATCCTCCCAAGAAACCTCCTTTACCTTCCTTGAGGAAGTACCACCTCCTTCCTTGAGCAAATATAAGGCCTTTTGGTAATACCTGAACAGTAGAGTTCTCAGTGGAGTGAGGCAAAGAAATAATCACAATTTCCTATAGGAAC